TATCTATCTATCTATCTATCTATCTATCTATCTATCTATCTATCTATCTATCTATGTCCAGGATGGTATGAGGAAGCTAAAGGGAATGTTCTCTATCCCATTGCAACTGTAGTGGCTCTGCAGTAGGATGGACCCTTTGGCGAGAGGGGAGCCTAAGGCTGCCCGAAAGCTCTCCATCGCCAGAGGCTAGGGAAAATGCAAGAAAAGTAGATACTCCCAAGCCCTGAGGACAGGAGAGGTAAGAACAGGGAGGCAGAATTATTTAGGGGGGAAAAAAGCATTTGGCTGGAAAATGCCTCAGTACTAGAGATGAAAGAGTTGCACACTCATTACAAAGAATATTCTCAAAGAAAAAAAAAGAGAGAAAAATCACTTAAAATACACTGAGAAAAATAGTAACATTTATTAGAGAGGCAGATACGAGGGCACAACTGGAGGATGACAGGCAGGTTCTTTTCTCTTAGGAGAAGAGCAGAAAGAAGCAACCGTGACGGCTGTATTGAAACGACTTACTCAGGCCAGGGGTTTACAATAGACTCAAGGGCGCCGCAGCCAGCCGGGGACCTAGCTACAGTGCAAGAGTCCAGGGGCTTCCCCAGCGGTTATAAAAACAAAAAAGGCGGTTAGGTAGGAGAACAGCAAATCAAACCGACAGGTAAAGACTAAAACAACACTGTTCAAGGCATCCTTTTAGTTTTCAAATTGCAATATATACAAATATACCCTGCGGGGCAGGATTATGGACATGTTTAACAAAGTGATGTCAAAAGAGACACCACTGCACAAGGCTCGGAGGAATCTAAGTGATTTGGCAACGACCAAGTACATCACAGATAACACACACACACACACAGAAAGTGCCCTGGCGTTATTTATTTATTTATTTTTAAACCCAAGCGGTGCTTTGAGTTTCTGGGAGTCAGAGAGCAGCAGCTAGGCCTCTGGGGGTTGGCGGCAGGAGGGCGGGGTTTGGAAGAGGCTAGGTGGTGTGGCAGTTAACTTCAGGTATACTTTTCCACTAAAAGGAGAAGGCTAAGACAGCTCAGCTCTCTCATTTCTCTTCCGTTGTTCTGAGACAAGGTCTCACTACATAGATCTGGCTAGCCTTGAACTGACAGAGATCCACCTGTGTCTGGCTCCCAAGCACAGGGATTACATGTGTATACCACCACGATCAACTGTCTAGTGGTTTGTTTTTATTTTTTACATTGATCTGTGTGTGTTTTGTATAGGTGTGCACAGTGCCATGATGTATGAAGATCAGAGGTCAACTTTTGGGAGTTGGTCCTTCCACCATGGGAGTCCCAGGGGTAGCACTCACATTCATGAGGCTTGGGGACAAATGTCTCTACCTGCTGAGCCATCATCCCGTAACCACACCTCCAAGCTCCCTTCTGAAACAGCAAACTATTGGAAGAAATTTTTATCATTCCCCACTGAGGAGATGGAAACTACAAAGTACCATTCAATTTAGTCAGTGCTGGGTGCGGTCATGTTAGGATCCTAAGGTATTCAGCTTACTAACACACACTTAAAACCATGACCAGTTTGCAACTGACCTTTCCCTGACTCCAACCTGCGCAAACCGGAGGGAAACCTCTATGTTTCACCCAGGGGGCTGTTCACCAGCTCACTACTGGATCTCTCTTTGAGACTTTCAATGTTTTTTTGCTTTTAAGAGAGGATCTTTCTATGTAGTCCTAGTTGTCCAGGAACTCACTCTGTAGACCAGGCTGGCCTTGAACCCACAGAGCTGTCTCTTGAGTGCTGGAATTAAAGTCAAACACTTGGAGCAGAGGCAGGTGGGACTCTGTGAGTTCCAGACCAGCCTGGTATATGGAGACAGTTCCAGGATTACACAGAGAAACCCTGTCTCAGAAGACAAAACAAAACAAACACCAAACAAACAAACAAAACAAAACAAAAACAAAAAAAAAAAAAAAGAGGAAGAAATCACAGCCTAGAGGCAAAGAGGATAAAGAGAACAAAATAAAACAAAAGGAAGAAGAAATGACAGCCTACAGGTGAGTTCTGCACAGGAATGAAGAGGGCAAATCTTTACATTTCAAGTCTTTCTGGCCACCAGGTCTCATGCATAGTTTGTACTTTCCTCCTATTCACTCTTCAGAGGTTCATGATACTTGAAGGGGGGACTGAAAATCTGCCCCTGAAGGGGTCGCAGAATGGCTGACTTTAAATATGCGGTGACAGCAAAAGTTACTCAAAGGAAATAGGAATTACAAGACTGATGTGCATTAAACAAAACAAAACAAAAAACAACAGGCAGGCCGGGTCAGCTTCCTGATTTTGGAGACTGAACTAGACTATGAGGTGTGGCTGCTGGGGCCTCAGGAAGAGCATGGGGACCTCTTTGTGCCACCTTTGTAACTGCCAAGAGCCAATCACTACCTCAAAATATTTCTCAGCAATCATGAGGCTGGAGGGGAGAATTGTGAGTTTAAGGCTAGTGTTGGTTACATAGCAAGACACTGCGCGCACACACACACACACACACATGAAATAGCTGGGCATGGTGATGTACGCTTTTAATCCCATCACTCTAGAGGCAAAAGCAGGCGGCCCTCTGAGTTCGAGGCCAGCCTGGCCCACAGATCAAATTCCAGGACAGCCAGGGCCAGCACAGAAACACTGTCACAAAACAAAACAACAAAAAACCCCAAAACAGAAAAGAAAAGATTTGCGGGGACAGATGCTTTTTCATTCTGACCCATTTACAGCTAGCTCGTGGTGGCCTAGAGGTGGGCTGTCATGATGGGCACCGTTCAGTCCTGGGCTTGGCAGCTGCCCGTGCGTGCAACCAGCGTCACACTCTCCCCTCCGACTTAAAAAATGCAAATTCCCACATGGCCCAGATTCCTTCAAAACTCTAAGTCTTTTTACTTTATTCTGGCTGTAGTTAGCCAGATCAAATGTGCCAGAAATCCCCAAACGGTCTAGCAAATTCAAACTCTGGGTCTTACGGACTCCAAAGATTAAAAAGGAAAAGAAAGTCCACTTCAAAAGGGTCATGCTGGGGCCACTGCTCGCAGCAGCGGACACACTGGCTTCTGTTCACCGCAGCTCCGGCCACGACCAGGAATAGAACCATGTTAGAGAAGTATCTCGCCCGCAGGGGCCTTGGGTACCCACCTGCTGCCTGCGCTTGCCTCAACCGCCAGAAGACACTCTGCCACCGGCCCAGGCCCATCAGACGGAGCCAGGAGACTCCATCTAATAATGACAAGTCAAACTAAATCGCTTGAGGAGTACACCTTCCTGGACCTCTTTTGATTGTTCCGGACACCCAGACAATAAAAGGCTGACCCCAGAGACCTGAGCTGCAACTTTTAGGGCACCCAGTGTGGGCACCAAGAACATGTCAGAGGCTTCACTCAAGGGCAGGGACAGGTTACTTTTCTTCCATTGATGAAGTAACAAATGTAACTTTCATTTATTTATTTTTACTGAGTCTTACTCTGCAGCCCAGGCTAGCCTGAAACTCACAGGGATGTTCCTGACTCGGCCTCCTGAGTGCTAGGATCACAGGCATGAGCCACCACCATACAGTTTTTAAAAATCTACACATTTTGTTGGAAGGAATGGGAACACTGCTCAGATTTCAAAGGACACAGTTGTAAGCTGGCCGGTGGCAGCTCTGCACACTGCCAGGTCGGACAAGTGAACTAGGGCACGAGACGCCCCCAGTCCCCGAGTGTCTGCGTTGCTTGCTCTCTGCTGGCCTCTTGAAGGCCTGTACAGCCACCATGGTGGGGAGAGACAACTCCAACACTTTGCAGGGTTTTTGTTTTGTTTTAAGTGGATTAAATATACGTCTTAGCACCTTTGGCGTTTTTGTCTAAATAGACTTCGACGTAGGAAGTGGGGACGTAGCCCTCCTCGTCCTCGCTTCTGCGGATGCGAGTCCACCCGTCGCCCTTGTCCTCTTCGATCACACTCAGCATCTCCCCTTCAATTACAGAGATGGTGCCTTCGTTTTGACCTGCGGAAGTAGAGAAAGCTGTGAGGTCTCGGGCAGGGCTGGGAGGGCTGTGGCTGAGATCCGTGCAGAGTACGTGCCTCGGTCTTCTGCGCCGCAGGCAGGTTCCTCCTCCTGTCTGTGGGCCCTTCCTCAGGTCCCCCCAAGTCTTGGTGAATCTCTGCTCTCCTCTGGGCCGCTCCCCTCAGTTTCTCTTGTGCCAGGGAGCGGGACGAGGGTCCTCCTTCAGTTTGCCCAGTACCCTCCTCTTTTTCCCCTTCTGGTATTTCCTGAGGCCAAGGTTCTCCTTTTCCTATGCCTGCAGGGCAGTTCCCCCTTGATGGCACCTCGACCCGGGAAATGTAGCCCAGGGGACCTGGATTCACTGGGACACTCTCCTACTGCTCCTTCCCCATAGCATCTCTGAGGATCCAAGGATGGCCTTGGCTCTCCTCTTCTTTTTGCTCAGTTCTGTCAGGCACAATATGGCTGTGTCTTCTCCTTAGCCAAGGCCCACAGACAGTTCTCTAAGATCATTTAAAACAGCCATACCGGTGTGATGGCTAGTTCCGTCAGCTCGAGGCAACCTCAAACCATCACGGAAGAGGTCAGTGAGGAGCTGTCTATAGCAGGCTGGCCTGTGGGCATTTCTGGGGAACGCTGTCTCTTCCCCTCCCCTCAAAATGGGGTTTCTCTGTGTAGTCCTGGCTGTCCACCTCATGAGATCCTTCTGCCTCTGCCTCTCAAGGCACCCAGCAGCGGTACCTTCAAATGTGTAGAGCGCCTTGCAGGTCCCGATGGCAGGAAGTGGCTCCTCGTCATCAAATTCGTCATCAAAATCCGTAGCCAGCACCTTGAGCTCGCGCTCCTGGCTTTGCTCCTCCGTGTAACTACCATCTGGGCTGCTCAAGAGAGGAAGACATACAGCAACTATAGCGACGTGGAAGCATGGGCCTGCCTCCCTCCACCCCCATGGAACAGTGCTCAACCAAGGCCATCAGAGCTAAGGCCACCTCAGATCGCCAGCCCAACCTGAGATATTTTCATGTGGAAGAATCAAAGGTGATGCGAATAGACACTCTTGCCCTTTGTTCATGAGAGATTCCAGAATTTAAAAGTAAGTGCTGAGCCAGACAGCCCCTCTGGCAGAGGCTGTGGTACTCCCACAGGTACTGTACCTCTCCCGGTCCTGGGCACAGTTAGTGACTGCCTGGTGTGTCTGGCCATCATACATTCCACTCTGCCGGCGGGCCTGCTCGCTCCGAGCTGGGAGTCTGCCTTCCACCTCAGCTAGCCACGCCTGGAAGCAAAAGCCACAGAAGACTTGGACCTGGGCTAGCCTAGGCTAGTTCATGAGCTGTCAGGCCTTAACTCAGAGATGGACAGTCATTTTAAGCTGCTGCTGATGTCTCAGAGCCTGCACTGGCTGGCTATACAGGTGGGCTCCCAGGCAACCATTTCTTCCTCCTGCAAAGCTGGGGAAGGGGTAGGGAGGACCCTGTTGACCAAATTTACCAATCACCTCACACAGCAAATGGGCACCACTGGGCCATGCTCTTGGGCAGCCATGTAATTGCAGATAAATCATCCTTCCTTCTGACTCAGTCCCGTGGCTCTGAGATCACCCTGGGAAACCCCACGCCCCCAGATACGTCAGTAGGGTGATTTTTCTCATGCTGGTTAGCCTAGCATGTCCAGAACACCTACCACTGAAAAGGTACAGAGTGGGGGGTGGGGGTGGGGGCTCCCCCAGGGGCCTGCCCAGAGACACCATCCCCCACTTCCTGCTTCTTCCTGCCCGCCACACCTCAAACTTCTGTGTCTCCAGCCGCAGTTTTTCTATGTTCTGGGTGACTTCGGTGAGTTTATGGTCCAAGCTGGCCGGGTCTCCCATCTGAGGGTTCTTTAGGTACACATCTTTCATTTTGGTGATGGCATCCCTGAGAAAGGAATAGGAGCAGCGTGGGGACCGAGGCAGAAGCCAGTGGGAGGTCTTCTCCAGCTGTGTAAAAAGCCTACCGCCCTTTTCAGAAAACCCATCCCTGACATCACAGGCTGCCCACCTCCTCTTAACCACATTTGCCTGTAAAATCAAAAGTAGCTGTTAAAAATCTATCATTCTGCTTGCTTGGTGATACACACCGGTGATCTCAGCACTCAGGAGGTCAAGGCAGGAGGCTAGCCTGGGCTATATAGTGAGATCATCCCTTCTCTTTGAATGAATCTCTTCAAAAGTTCGCTGTTTTTACCGTGTGTACTTGTACATTCATGTGTACGGTATGTGTGTATGTATATTCATATGTGTGTGTGTGTGTGTGTGCGTGTGTGCGTGCAGGTATGTGAGCACATGGAGGGGACATCGGCAGTCTTCATTGATCTCCTGTCTACCTATTCCTTTCCTTTTCTTTTTTTTTTTTAAATTAAAGATTTATTTACTATGCATACAATGTTCTATCTGCAAGAGGACATCAGATCTCATCATAGATGGCTGTGAGCCACCATGTGGTTGCTAGGAATTGAACTCAGGACCTCTGGAAGAGCAGTCATTGCTCTCAACCTCTGAGCCATCTCTCCAGCCCCCTATTCCTTTTCTTAAGAAAGAACCAAAACCCTCTGTGTTTGTGAGAGTGCAGCTGAGAGAGGCCCCACAAGGCTTCTTCACCCAGAAATCCCGCTGACCCTGCCCACCTTGGAACTTTGTGGGATGCTGGGCATGTTTTGTGGGTGCTGGAATATGGCCCCGTGAGGACACAGCACGCGCCTCTAAGCACAGAGGCATCTCTCCAGCCTCTTCTGAGACCAGGCCTCTTCCTGGCTGCTCAGCGATGGGGTCACAGACCTGCACTGCCATGCCCGCCTCTTATACAGGCACTGGGGATCAGAACTTGGCTCTTCATGCTTGAGCAGGAAGCGCTTTCCCGCTGACCTCCTTCCATGAAGTCTTAAAGAACCAGACTTCTGTGTCTGTGGAGTCTCGGTTGAACTGAATGATTTTTGCTTTTGTCTTTTGAGAGAGGGTTTCTCTGTGTAGCCTTCGCTGTCCTAGAACGTGCTCTGTACATCAGCCTGGCCTCAAACTTAAGAGCTCTGCCTGCCTCTGTTCCCCCTGATTAAAGGTGTACGCCATCACACCCAGCACCAGAACGATTTTCAATATGAGTAAGATCCTGCCTTCAGAGCTGGAGAGCTGGCCTAAGGTTAAGAGCACTTGCTGTTCTCTCAGAGGACCTGAGGTCAATTCCCAGCCCCCACAACAGGTAGCTCATAACTGTCTGTAACTCCAGCTCCAGGGGAATCCAACTTCTCTGGCCTTTGCAGGCAGGCAGGTACGCACATGTGCACGCACGCACACATACACGCATACACGCACACACACAGACTTAAAATTAATAAAACACATCTTTTTTTAGAAAGCATGCCACCTTTACTATTTTCTTCCTTTTTTTAAAAATCATTTCTTACTGTTTTTAGTTAGGTGTGGAGAGTGTGTGTGCACTAAGTGCAGAGCCCTTTGAGGTCAGAGGCTTTAGGCCCTCTCGGAGCTGGAGTTGCCTGGTGTGGGTGCTGAGGGATACATACGCTTAACCACAGATTGGCCGACCCCCGCCACCCCTTGCCTTGCTTTTCCTGAGACAGGCTCTCACTCTGTAGCCCAGGCTGGCCTCACTGCTCAGCCATCTTCCTGCCTCTTACTCCCGCCACGTGACTTCTCTCTTTCGTCTATGATCCCAGTGCTTGGGAGGCTACAGCAGGATTGCTACTGTGAATTGAGGCCAGCCTGGCCAAAATAGTGAATTCCAGACTCTTTCAAAAAGCTAATAGACAAGAACCCTCTGCTGGGACAGTTCTTGTGCACTGTGCAAAGGTTGTTTGTATTGTTCAAATGCTGATTTCTGTGGGGCAGGGATCTGAGTACAAACCAGACTTTAGTAATATTATTCTTATGGCTATATCATATTGTATAAACACTCCCTCTAACACCTTTTGATAAAAGGACTGAATAGCCCATGGCAAAGGCAGGAAAGCATAGGCGGAACTTCCGGGTAGAGATAAGAACTCTGGGAAAGAATCTGGAGAGGACCCACAAGACAGACAGGGAGGAAGGAACAGGTGCCTGGGCTAAGACACTGAGGAGAGGTAAACAGCCACATGGTACAATATAGATCAGTACAAATGACGTTAATTTAAGTTACACAAGCTAGTTGGTAATAAGCCTAAGCTAAGGCCAAGCTTTCACAATCAATAAAAAGTCTCCATGTCATTACTGGGAAATGGTGGTCCATGAAACTCCCATTATACCTCCCCAAAATGAAAAAGGGGCACGGGGGTGCTTGTGCCTCTAGTCTCAGCACTCAGGAGGACTCTGTGAGTTTGAGGCCAGCCTGGTCTATGTAGTGAAAGAGACCCTGTCAAAACAAACCAAAAAAGAAATGAAAGGAGAGAAGGGGAGAGGGAGACTGAGAATCCACAAGCAGGCTGACTATCCTCAACTGAAAGGACAGATTTTTGACTCCAAGGCAGGATGTGGGGTAGAGAGAGGTGGGACTCAGGCGACTGTCCATCCTTTGTACCAAAACGAAAAAACAACCCCGAGGAGAAAACTCCGGAGACTTCCCATATCAAGGCGACCTGGCCAATGCCAGTAAGAACTGCCCGAGGGCACTGACAGGAGAGGCCATCACCCCTGTGGTGGGGCCTAGCGACGCCATCCCTGAGAATGTCAGGACTGAGAGCAAAGCCCCAGAAGGCCCCCTGCCTACCAGCAGCAGCCAATACCGAAGGCAGCAGCAAGGGACGGCCGCATGCCATGTGACTGCAACATCAAGAAAGAGTCCACCCTGCACCTGCTGCTGCGCTCGGGTCACGGCGGGAGCGCGCCCCCCCTTTGTCAACTTGCCCAGAAATGCAACAGAGGCAAGAGGCCGATCTTCGAGAGCTATGGAGGCCTGCACCCTGCCCCTGCGCCTCAACTACTGCATCAGAGCGGCCACACCAACATCTGCATCTCAAGGCCGAGTGGAGCTGAGCTTCCTATCCATCCCATAACCCTGGAACCCCAATGTCTTCCTCCCGTTGACTGGAGCAGAACAACAAACAAAACAGCAAACAAAACCCACCACCCAGCCAGTCGTGGTGGTACACGCCTGCAATCCCAGCACTTGGGGAAGCAGAGGCAGAGGCCTGTAACTCCAGCTCAAAGAGTTCCCAAGAGACCCTCTTCTGGTCTCTGAGGGTACTGCACACACACACACACACACACACACACACTTTCCAAACTGAGCTCAGGTAGTTTGACAGGGCGCAGTGATCCATCCTACCTCTGATCTGTCTCCTTTTGGATCTCTTTATTGAGATCATCAACTTTCTGTTGCAGCTTTTTCCTTCTCTGCTCGGGTGGAAGGTTGCTGAAGTCTTCTGGTGTGGCACCCTGCAGACACAGACAGAAATGAGAAGCCAGAAAGCCTCGAGGTGCTTCCGGGAAGGAGGGGGCAAAGCAGCCCGCAGACCTGTGGAGGCTTCCCAGAATCCGCTGTGCTTTCCTGCCACACCAGCTGAGACCCGAAAGCCAAACACATGCAAACCTCAGAAGCCCCACAAACCACTGCATGTCACCTACACGGGCCTGAGCACCAGGGGCAAGGCCAGGAGCACCACACCACAAGGAGAGATGGAGGACACAGGTCTGACCGGGAAGGGAACCCATAGACAAATTTAGAGACACAGGAAGTGACACTTCTGTAATATAATCCAGCTCTCCTCAGTATTGTGTCTAAGCCTCAGCTTTCCTTAGGGGAAGCAACCCTTCCCATCTCTCCTCAGGCTGGGGCCGAGCTCCCGCCCGTGCGAAATGACAGATGGGCTGTCACTTTCCTTTGAGGATATGAGCCAAAAGTACAATAAAACAGCATCATCCCCTTTGGGTATTACTTGCTCCTCACTGCCTTGGGGCCCCGGAACTACTTCCCACAGTGTACAAAACAAATCTCCCCTGCTTTTCCTGTCAGAGTGTATCTTAACATCACCCAACTCCTCTTCTGCAGCATTGAACCTGGGGCCCATGTGTGCTAGGCAAGTGTTTTACCACCGGACTACAGTCTCAGACTGGCGGTGATCCTCCTGCCTTCGTTTTCCAGATACAAGGATGATAGGTGTGAACTATCACCTCTGGCTTCTGATCCCCTCCCCCAACATAGAAGTTTATTTTAGGACTGTATGAATGTGTGAATGTGACTGTGTGTGTGCAGAGTCCAGAAGAGGGCATTAGATTTCCTGGATTGATTTACAGGTGGGTGTGAGTTACAAGAGATAGGTGCTGGGAATGGAACTTGGGTCCTCTGCGATCTCCCAACCACTGAGCCATCCCTCCAGCCCATCATTTTTTTTTTTTTTTTCTCTCCTAATTCTTAGCCCTAGTTGGGCCTGGTGCTTGCTGTGTGGACCAGGCGGCTCTCAGTTTGAAGCAGTCCTGTAGACCCAGGCTTCCAAGTGCCGGCTTGCTGGTATGAGCCACCACACCTGGCTGGGACACTCTTTAAAGGGCTACTGTAGTCAGGCCTTCGTACATGTGCCACAGCCTTGCTGTGTTGCAAAAGCGTCTCCTTAAGAGAGGCCGTTCCCATAAAGAATGAAATGTATTCAATGGACCCAGAGAAGGCTAGGAAAGTCACAAGAGAGATTTTACTTGAGAGAACGTGATTCCAGAGTCCAGCTGGATTTGCCAAGCAGCTTACTGTGTGTGTGTGTGTGTGTGTGTGTGTGTGTGTGTGTGTGTGTGTGAGATGGAAGCCTCGAGGCCGATTAGGCTGCTGGCTGGGAAGCACATGAGTCGGCAAATAACTGGCCTCTTTAGACCACGTGGAGATCAGCATTCCCTCCTGAGACACCCTGAGTATGTGGGTGGAAGGGGTGAAGGGCTGAGAGGACTGGAGGCACTCCTGTCACCATGCCAAGTAAGGCCCTGACGCCTCCTCAGCGAGACCTCCGCTTTAAGGCGCTTTTCCTCTCCCACGTGCACTGTTGGAAGTCTTGAGTGTCTACCTTTCTTCTCACTCTGTTTAAGCCTCGAGCTTGGAGGGAAGGCCGTCTTCACAATTTTTACCTATCAGACAATCTGTGGGAGTCAGCTCCAACTCTCCACTATGTGGGCCTCCAAGATGGAACCGAAGGTCAGCTGGCTTAGCAGCAAGCACTCCTGCCCCCCTAAGCTGTCTTGGCGATCCCGTACTTGTTTCCTAGATTGAGATTGTGTGTGTGTGTGTGTATAGATTAGAGGACAACTTCCTATGTTGGTCCTTTGTTTGAGGACTTTGAGACAGCATCTCTTGGCTGTTTTTCCATTGCACACTCTCCCCACAGGGTGCTGGGCTTTCACACTCATTCTGGGGATTTACACTCAAGATCTCGTGCTTGGGTTTGTAAACACTTTCACCTTCCGACTCGCCTTCCCAGCTCTGAGATTTTGTTTTAAATCTCAGAAGTGGAAGTGAGGTGCTGTGGACAGCGGGCAGAGAGCCCCCTCAAACTTTCTGTGCTGGTGGAAACATTCCATGGCTGCACGGTCTGGCACAACAGCTGCAGAAGACTGCCCACACTTGAGCGTGGCAGGTTCGGGGGTGACCTGAATCTTCTGGATGTATTTAGGACAGGTGTGAGGCAGAACACGCTGGGCTGGTGGTTTGTGGCTGGCCACAGCAGGGAGAGCACTGGGTACTTAGGACAACAGGATGACCCGACTGACCTACACATTATCTTCCACAGATACAGCGCCAGCCTAGCTGGCCAGCCGGCTCCCTCTCCACAGCTCCCCTGCCTATTCCAATCACTGTTATTTGAAAACAAATCACCCGGAGAAGCCTCAAACCTTGGTTGCTATGGAGATTCAGGTCAGCAGCTTCTCACAGCAACTTGGGCTTTTGAAGTTTACATTCCCTCAGACAAAGCTCTGACACGTGACCCACTCTCGGGAGAAGGGGCTCTTGTTTCTAGCTCTGAGTGAGCAGGGGGTGTCCTTGACGTGGCCTGAGTGGCCCAGTTTGCAGGATGCTGGAACCTGCCCTGGAGGGCGTGCCCGCACACACCCAGGTTAGAGGGCTCTGTATTTGGCCTTGCTTCATCTTCTGCTGGAGCCCACATTGCTGCTGGGCACAACAGGTTCTTCAGATGTCTGCTTTTACAGCAAACCCATTCGGTGCCAGATATTTCGTGTCTGTGTACGTGTCTGTGGTACATGCTCCTGAGTGTGTGGCTGTGCGCTTGCTCAAGAGGTCACTCCGGCAGGACTCGGGGAGTCTTTCCCTCTCTTCGTCTCACAGCCTCGACGCTGGCTTTTCTGGGAGGCTGGCTGTGCAGTGGCGTCCTCTGGGGTCACCTGTCTCCACCCCTCACGCTGGGGTTACAGATATGTGCAGCCATGCCTGGCTTTGCGGATGGTCCTGGGCTCTAAGCGTGTCGTCACGCCTGTAAGGGCAAGCGCCCCCACTCACTGAGCCATCTCGAAATGGCACGGGAGCAAACGGCTCCTGCCCACGCTGTGAAAGGGTCTGTGTCCCAGAAGGAAGGACTCCTAAAGCCTTTCAGCACCTGCACCTCTTCTGCTCCCAGACAGACCTCACTTGGTCGCAGTCTTCCTTCGGGTTCACCTCTGAGGAATGTTATTTAACAAAATGTTATTTTGCTTTGGGGTTGACTGGACTGCTGAATGCAGAGTCCACTGGGAAGTGATGGTGTCCACACGTGCATGAACACACATCTATGTACACGGCTATAGGAAAGTCACTGTCATGTGCCATGTCAGGTCACCCGCATGTGCATTACTCCTTGGTGAGTTAACACAGTCCATCACAGCGAGAATGCAAGACTACGCTCTGCCTTGGCAGTCAGGGAGATTCCATGTAACGTTCATGTATGTATGCATGCATGCGTGTGTGTGTATGTATGTATGCATGCATGTGTGTGTATGTATGTATGCATGCATGTGTGTGTGTGTATGTATGCATGCATGCATGTGTGTGTGTATGTATGTGTGCGTGTGTGTATGTATTGTGGTGTTGGGGACAGAATTTGGGGCTTTGTGTGTGTGTTAGGCTGATCCTCTGCTGCTGAGTCATGCCCCCAGTTCTCATTCATATTCAAAGTATAGTGAGTTATGTTAGTTAGGATTTTCTTTTAATAAATCGAACAATTACTCTGGCTGTTCATTAGAATTATGCCATGAAGGAGAAGCAAGACAAACAGACACTAAGTAGACAGCTCAAGCAAGGATGGACGAGGGGTTTCCCTTTGTCCTCAAAGCATCTGTGACCCCTGGAATCGCTTTACCCATGGCCCCCAAGGAGGCCCTAGCTTCCCACTGGTCTTCCCTACCAAAAACCTGAGCAGGCTTTCCAGGTGTGTGACACAGGTCTGAGTGTTTCCTGCAGGCTCCTAGTGTTTGTTTTTTGAGACAGGGTCTTCCTAAATACCCATGGCTGGCCTGGAACTCACTTTGGAGACCAGGCTAGCCTCGAACTCAAAGATATCTCTTTGCCTCTACCTTCCGATTGTCTCCATTAGGTTCCTAGAGTTTTTCTGTCTGTTTAGTTCAGTTTTTTGTCTTTTAAATATCTACTGAATAGCTCCCAGGAGGGAGTTTTTTTCCAGCCATTTAAGTTTATCCAAAACGAAGCAGTGGGTGCAGCCCTAATCCCTGGGCTTTACATGCAGATGAACGCAGACAGTTGATCAAAGCCTGGGCTATTCATGTTAAGCATTAATGTCCTTAGTGACTAAGACAGCCACACATCAGAGGTCAAATAAATGCCGCCAAAAGCACCAGCAGGAGAAATGAACGTGAACAGTTAATGTTGAAGGCAGGCTGCCCACGGCTTGGCACACACAGCACACACCAGAAACCCGTTAGGCTAGGGGCATGCACGGGGACATTGTGCTTACCAGCTTGAGAGAAAGCTTCACGGAAAATTGAAGAGGAAACAAACGGGAAGAGAGAAAGAGAGAGAAAGAGAAAAAAAAAACACGTCAGAAGAGGAGGCACTTGGCCAGTCCCACGGACTCATAACATCAGCTCCCTGCCGACACATGGAAATGGCTGGGCAGATCTGTGCAAAAGTTCACAGGAGGGGCTGGTTGTAACAGAAACTCTTCTCGGGCGGCTTGGGTGCCGGAGCCAAGCTAAGGTGTGGGGAGGCTCCCTCTTGGCCTGCACTGTGACCTCCCACCTCAGCTTACTGGGGAGGGTGATTTGGGGCGGTGCTGGGAACAGAACTCGGGGCCTTAAACCTGCTAGGCACAGGGGTGAAACATAATGACCCTAAAAGGAAAAACAAAACAAACCCCACAAAAAAAAAACCCACCCAGCACTCTGTACAAATCGCTCCCAGATATCTTATTTGAGACAGGGTTAGCCAACGCAGAGCCCTGGCCGGGACGACCTCAAGTTATCCAAGCACCTTCCCTCCTGGTTCTTCCCACCTGCACACTGGGGGCTAGGCGGCTGGCGGAGGGATGAACAGAAGCTGCAGTTCGTGGGCTCTGCCTTTAGGACAGGGGCAAGTGCTGCCTTAGTTCCCGGGTGCTGCTGTGGGCAGTGAGCCCATCACTAAAGGGCCACACAGCTCCCTGCTGCTGGGCCTGGAGCTTAGAAAGGCCCCGTGATCACTGCACTCCAAGCACAGAAAGGGGCCTCTGAGAACTCAGAACAGAACTCGCAATATCTGTGAGACCCTGCTGGCTGGCTAGGGAGTGTTCAACACGCGACACTGCCTTAGTTTCTAGCAACCCAGAAGGTCCTAGGAACTAGTGGAAAAGTACAAACATATATGAAGGGTAAACAACCAGAGAAAGTGCACTTAGATTTTTATGCTGGGTAGGGAGGGGTTAAAATTCCTTAGCCAGTTTTTATATTTTTTATCATCCTTAAGATTCTTTAAAGCTGGAACTTCCAGCTGGGCTTGGTGGAGAGCACTCTGGAGGCAGAGGCCTGGTCTACACAGTGAGTTACAGGCCACCCGGGACCACATAGATGCCATCTATTAAAAAAAAAAAAAAAAAAAAAAAAAAAAAAAAAAAAAAAAAAAAAAAAGGTAGCTACTGCTTTGTAAATAGGCAATGACTTTTTAAAGAAACTGTTCCCGTATGGAAGGAAGAGACTGTTAAGATGGCTAGACAGCTTTTCAAAAAGCGTCTGCATAGACTGTGGCCGTGAACCTCATGAGCCTCCTGGAGCTTAGGCACAGATTGTCCGTCGCAAGCTCAGCTCGTCCTTCAGACAGACAACACTCAGGAGACGGGCCCCACAAGGCACACTAGTATGTCCTCAAACACGATCTTACTGCGGATTTCAAGAACCTCACTCGCTATCTGTTCCCTACCACAGCTCCTCTCATGATTGGAATCTGTGATGGAAATCTCCTAGGGCCGAATTTGTAATATCAATAGGAAGGTTTCCACTTCCAAACAAGAACAAGGGATTAAAAGTGAACATCTGTTCCAAGAGAAACAGGAGATGCTAAATTCTCACACTCGGATTTTAGAAACACCAAAACTCTCCAATTCCATTTTCTGAAGTGGGCGGTGGCAGGAGGTGGCGGAGGGGCCACCTCAGGTGTGCAGAACCCTGCCATAAGATGACTGCTTCTCAGGCTGGAAGTCCTAAGGCAGCCAGTCAGCTCACTTCTGACTAGAAAGCACGCCTTCTCCTGGGAGAATAAAGGCAAAGGGCCTCATCGAGTGTGTGACTGAGGGACCAGACGCCATCAGCTGCAGGTGACAGTTAGGGGCTCTGGGAGAAGCGGGCAGCAGTAACACGGGAGGGGGAAGAGCCAGCGCGTCCATGTGTCATTGGACGGTCACAGCCACTAACCTCAAGCACAGAGAAAGGGGACGGTAAGTGCCCGAGACTTTGTGAAACCTCCCGGCACACTCTCTGTTTGTGCTTCTTTGAGCTGTTGTTCTCCAGGCTCATGGCCTGACTCCCTAGTGACCCGCTGGCTACACACACGGATGTGGACGCCTGCACGTGACCGTGCCTAAGCTGCCGCTTTCCGGTGACTTCTGCAGCTGTGTTTTATGGGTAACTTTCTGCCATACAGTCATATCCAGAGACCCACATCCAGCTCAGGTGGCCGCTGCAGGCTCTTTCAAGATTTTGCCAGAACTAAGACGAAAAGGGGGGCACTCCGACAGTGAGCTCAGCTCAGTGGACGTCTCAGGGGCACTGGCTGTCCATCAGGGAGCTTGTGTCTTTCTATACAAGTTTTGGAGCTAAAAGAGCTGTTGAGTTTACACAGCAGGACTCCCTCTTTGCTCCAGAGAATGCGGGGGAGAAGTGTTACAGCTGTGCCTGTGTCCCCAGTCTCGGCACTGTCCAAGGGGTTAGTGCTTTGGCTGTGACTTTATATGTATCACACGAGGACTTACAACATAGTCCCTAGCCTCGAAGGCATGCGTGGGTTTCCCTAGAGTCCTCTTCATGAGCTCTCTGTGATAATACAAAGACTGAGTCTGCCAACAGTCAGCAAGAGAACAAGGTAAGAAAAGGAAAGAAGGAGCCACACATTCATTGCGTTACATACAACAATGGATTTCTACAATGCTTTGCTCTAACATTAAGCGACCAGGGCTCACCTAGTTTTAGCCAGACAATGGCTTGGCACAGGCTCGAAAGGAAATCTCCACTTGGACAATGGACAATGGACAATGGAATTAAGATGAGGGAGGGGGCTACAACTGGGATACAAAGTGGATAAATTGTAAATAATAATAATAATAAAAAGAAAAAAGACAATGGAATTAACCTCTGTAGAGTCAAATTCAGGATACCTTCCTATCTATCTATCTATCTACCTATCTGCCATCTATCAATCTATTTATCTATCCATCCATCTATCATCTATTTACCATCTACCAATCATCCATCTGTCTGTCTATCCATCTATAATCAATTATCCACCATAATCAATCTATGTATCTATCATCTATCTATATCCAGCTATCCATCTGTCCATCTATCAATCATCCATCAGTCTGTTTATCTACCTACCATCTATCAATCAAACAATCTATCCATCCATCCAACCATCCCTTCCTCCATGTATCAATCTGTATCTCCACCACACCCCACTGGCTTTTCTCTCACACAGCTCACAGTGGCCTCAAACTCCTCCAGGTAGTGGAGGATAACCTTGAACTCCTGATCCTCTGTTTTCACCTCCCAGGGTCTGGGCTCATAGGTGTGTGCCTCCACACACAGCTCTGGGGACACGCTCTACTTTAATCTTTCTTTGACTTGTGTAAAGATGGAACAGTGAAGGTCTGGTGGTGTAGACCATCTATAAATATCCCCCAGAAAATGGCTTACAACAACAAAAATATGTAATCTTGTGTAATTGTTTAGAAATAAACTAAGCTATGCTAAGGAATGTTTGCACACTGAGTGGGACAATGACGGTTTAAACCTTTAGCCCTAACACTTGGCAGGCCGAGGTAAGCAGATCTGTGTGAGTTCAAGGCCAGCCTGGTCAACATAGTGAGTTTTTGGACAGCCAGGGCTACACAGTGAAACCCTGTTTCAGGGAAAAACAAAACAAAACAAAACAAAACAAAACAAAACAAAACAAAACAAAACAAAAAAAAAAAACAGGAAAGAAAGGAAGCAAAAAAGAAAAAGAAATGTTTGCACATAATTTCTACACTTTGGACATACTTAGAATTCAAATCTGAAGGCTGTGAAATGTGATAAGTTAAAAGACCCCACAGGGGACTGGGGAGATGGCTCGCTGTTAGGAGTACTTGCTGCTTTTGCAGAGGATCTGGGCTCATTTCCTGACACCACATGGTGGACTCAGAACCATTGGTAACTCCAGTTCCAGGGGCTCTAACAGCTTCTTCTGGACTCTGAGGGCCCTAGCCACACGCATGGTGCAGAGATGCATGCAGGCAAAACACGCACACAGACAAAAAATAAAACGAAAAAATGGGAGAGAAGAAAACAAAAAGACATGCCACAGCCACACAGCTATTCTCCGAGAGCCCTCCCTTGAGTGCATTTGCCCCGGTGTGGTAGTCTCAAGTTCAAGCACAGGAGAAAGTGGAACGGAAGCAGGGTTCCACCCTGTTGGCCACAGATCTGCCAAGGGGCACCTAGAGCACTGGAGCTGCTGAGCAAGGCACCGGGTGGAGTTCCCCAGGCTCTGGGTCTATGCTGTTTTCTTTTCAAAGGCTTACTGTTTCCCTCTCTCTTCCTTCCCTCCATGCCACCCTCCCACCACTCACTGCAAGAAGAAGCATCAGGTACGACAAAGCAATGGAAACAAAACCTCTCTCTGTGTTCCTCACTGCCGCAGCGCCTGAGTGTAGTTTGTCATTGGGAGAATATACTCACCGTCAGGAAAGGGTCCATTAAAAAAAAAATTGCTGAAATCAGAATTTTTTTAAAAACCATCTTTTCTTGTGCTGATTGAACACAGACATTCTTTGGCCTCTGCCTACACACAAGGGGACACCAGGGCACAGACGCAGAAACCCTCGATGACAGATTTCGTGATGTGGGCCATGGAGCAGGTACGCAAACACATGAGGACTGCAAGTGAATGGCGACCGTGAAAACTCTCAACACGTTTCATTGAGGGTCTGACAGACGGATGCAGGTGCCGATAAACACGGGTGATCACGTGGCAACATGATGTAGCTGACTCTGAGCCTGGCTCACCCTGGTTACCTCGTGGAAATGTCTCTGATGAACAGTAAAGTTTTAAAAGCCAGAATAACCGAGCCAAGAAGCTGCCGATTGCTCAGCCAGTCCCAACAACAGAGCTCAGCACGACCCATCATCCACTTCTGAAGCTACTCTGCCTGCTGACCGTGGTTGTCCTGACAGCTTCAGGAAATTAAAGTTCTGATTTAATTAAAACATAATCACATTTATTTATCGTGTGTGTGTGTGTGTGTGTGTGTGTGTGTGTGTGTGTGAATGCTAAGGTGTGCATGTGGAGGCCGTCAGAAGACAACCTGCAGGAGTTGGTTCTTTCCTTCCACCATGTGGGTCCTGGAGACAGAATCTACATGATCAGGCTTGGCAGCAACAGCCTATACCCACTGAGCCAGCTCACCAGACCAAAGTTCCGATTTCTAACTTGCTAAACTAAGGAGCCTCAAAAGTAAAATAATCGTCTCAAGTGCACCCTTCCTTCCTTCAGCTGTGACTTATTTTTGGACCCTACTATTTTTTCATATGTACTCTTTTCTTTCTTCCTTCCTTTCTTCTTTCTTTGTTTCTCTCTTTCTCTCGATCTCATTCTGAAGAACAGGCTGGTCTTAAGCTTACTGCGATCCTCCTGTTTCAGGCTCTGCAGTGCTGAGGTTAGATGCGGACAGGATGCCGTTTCTGTGGCATGCAGATTCTCCCAGTACAGGGATTCTACAGATGAAGAAATCCATCGTCAGGTGGCCTGGAGGGCAGATGCTCATCTAATTAGCTCAAGTTTGGCATCTCTTCCCATGCCAGAGGACGTTGGAGCAAAAAACATACAACTTGGGAACTTTCCATTTACAAGGGACACTGGAGCTGTCTCTGCCTGCCGATGCATCTTACCAGCCCAAGGTCTGCAACCCAGCTCTGGCTTTAGATAACTGAGCTCTCAGGCACTACACAGAAATGTCTCGAACTGGAAGTGATGCTGCACACCTTTCATCTCAGCAATCGGGAGGCAGAGGTGGAGGCAGGCAGAGCTCTGTGAGTTTGAGGACAGCCTGGTCTACACAGTGAGTTGCAGGACAGCCAAGGCTATGTAGAGAGACCCTGTCTCCAAAGGAGAGAAGAAAAGAAAAGAATAGAGAAAGAAAAGAAGAGAAAGAAGTGTCTCAGTTCATAGCTGCCAGGAGATCCCAGGAAGAAGGCATGCAGCTACATCTGCAGCAAAACTTCACAGGCCAAAACCGAACGACAGAACCGCAGTGGGCGAGGCACTGACCTCGCAGCTACAGGCTTCCTGTTTGTTTGAGGCAGGGGCTCACTTCACATCCCAGCCTAGCCTGAATGAGACTGTGCAGCCCAAGCCAGCCTTAAACCTAACGTTTTCCCGCCTCAGCCTCCCAAGTGCTGGGATTCCAGGTGTGAGGCACCGCACCCAGCCCAGTGTTTATTAGAAATACAGCTGGATAAGGCTTAGCAGACTTTGCGTTTAGTTTTACTTGGGAGGCCACTGACTTCATTCCAACATTTTCCTGTTAAGCTAAGCTGGTATTTTGTTGGATGACTGCTCAGTTCCTATGGAGCTTTATGGGTGCTTGCAAACTGGATGGCCATTTGTTTTGAGACAGAATCTCATATAGCTCAGAATGGCCAAGGATGTCTTTGAACTTCAGATCCTCTGAAGGCCGAGGACTGGCGTGCAACGTCATGCACAATTTCAAACTTGAGTTTTAACAGCAACCACGTTCTGAGAGATTTTTTTTTTTTAACTCCTTGAACTTGGGTGCCGCAGACCCTCAGACCATCTGAGCAGACTCTGGTTTTAGGTCCTGACTCCACAGTTTCTTTTAGCACACTGGCTTCACTGCCAAGAGAGCTGGGAGAGAACAGAGGAAGCCCTTGGTAAGTGTTACTGCTGTTGCGCCTTCTCCCTTTGCAAAGACATGCAGGTTTGGTGATCCTCACAAGAATGCCCGGGGCCACACGTGCTTCAGGCTTTAGAGCTGAGGAGACTGAGACCCAAATCTGAATGTGAAACTCATGTGTGTTTTATGCACATAGACTGAGGAGAATTTTGAGCATGCTTCTGGTTTCTGTGTTTTGTCTCTGTGGTCCTGGAGATGGCATCCTGGTCTCATGTAAGGATCTGTGTCTGAGCCACGCCCACAGTCTGGTTGAGGGCTGCGACGCTTCACATGAGGTCACGTGTGGAATTTTCCACTCACAATGTGACCGTAGGGCTAAAAAAGCTTCAGAGTTTTGAGTTTGGATTTGGGCTGCTTGACCTGCAGAGTTCTGCCCTCTCCAGTTTAGGGGCAATTTATTGCCATCCCTTAAGTTCACGAGGGAACCAGGGTGCCTGCTCAGCTTCCTCTTTGCCAGAGGATCACCGGCACTGCCTGGAATTAGTCAGCATAGACTTTCTGACTGTCCAGCCACTTCCTCATCTTCCACATTGTCTGTTTAAGAGTTGGCAAGATCAAGGAGAAAACTGAATGACTTCAGTTCTCTGAAGGGGAAGTGGGGGGTGCTCATAGCATGGACTAGAGAATAAAAGGCCGCTGGCTTTCTCTCCCTCCCACCCTCTACCCTGTTCTGTTCCTCCCTTTCTTTCTGCCATTCTTTGGCTCTCTGGGAGCCTAGTCTCAACCTTTCTCTCCCTCTAAATGTTACGGGAAAACACACTGGGTTCATTCACAGACAAAAATTATGCAGAATGAGACACGCAACACAGTGCGAAAGAGACGCAGGATTCCAGAGCAGAACTTACCCCACGCTTTAGGCTCCGGAAGCAGTGGATTTTGGGTTTGGAGGTCATGAACTCGTTGAAGCGGTGGGAGAGGGGTTCCTTTTGCTGCTTGGGAGACTGGGGGCCGTTGGGAACAGCAGAGGGTGAGGCAGAGGCAGGGGGAGGAGGGGGAGGCTGATGGGGGGATGTTAAAAGGGACATAAGCTATGTGTGAGAGATGGAGCGGTGACAGTAAAAAAAAAAATCAGAAACAAGAAGACACAAAACAGAAATAAGCATCAAATCATATTCAAGGTCCAAAGCAAGTAAAACACAAACCATTAATATAGATGCAACGGTACAAAAAGAAATCACGGAGGATGTGTTTCACGAAGAAGAAGGGGTGAAGAGGAGAGGTTCAGTGAGTATGCGACAGGACAGCAGGACCTTACGACCCAAAGCTCATGCAGACAGCCACATGCAAGCTAAGGCTCTCGTTAGTCATTCTAAAACCAGTTTCAAGCTAGGAGTAAACGTTTCCACACCTAAACTAACGCAGCTCGAAGGGGGGGAAGGGAGGCTAAATGACTGAGGTTGCGGAAGAACAGAGGGGCCGTTCTGTCCTGAAACTCAAGACGGTCAGCCTGATCTATGGTTAATGCAGGTGCCACCTCCATCCCGTTTTAGGACGCCGGGTTAGCTGTCATGCACCTACATACCGCACTACAGAAAGAGAACGGAAAAATGTTCACGGAGACAGAGGTTAACATGTCAAAACCAAGCCTGGCAAGCTTGATTAGATGGGACACTGTCCCCTTGCTCCCAGCAGAGGTTCCCAGCAGTCTGGGAGAACAAGGGGTGGGTGAAAGGGCGGTGAGGTCAGTGATGTTAGTGTGGGTGACCCAGTCCAGGTGACAACACATTGTAATAAGACAGAGGCCACGGCAAAGACACCACCACCGGAAAGAGACCGTTTGAATCACGAATGAGCGCAGCACGCTGACTGCTCTCTCTCGCTTTCTGAAGGTGCAGATCTTAGTTTGATTAAGACCCAAAGATAAACTCCGTGCCTCTGCACTGTGTCTCAGCCCACACAGGGTCCAGACTGCCAGTACCTTGTTTTTCTTGATGAATGGCCATAGCTTGCCTCTGGACTTGCCGCCAAACTTGAGCTCGGGCTTGCCTTCTTTGGCGCTGGAAAGGCTGTTGTCTGACACCGTGCGTTTCATCGGCTGTGTGTAATCTTCAAACTCAATGTCTCCAGGAGGCTCAAATCCTGACTTATAGGCTTCTACAACCAGCTGGGAGTCCTGCAATCACACCCACAAACAAACACGTCAACAGTGGAGTGGCAATGATGCATACAGAGACCAGCCCAAGAAAAGCCTACTGGGAGTGGATTTTCCTTTAGTGTGTGTTAGCTACTAGAATATTGATTCATGAAGGTTTGCCTCCAGGGAGGGCTGAAGATACTTTCCACATCTCGTAGGAACCTCCCACAGTGTTCTGCCTTTAAGACATTCCTCCCTTCACCACCTCGCCTACGGCATGTCACCAAACAGCGTGATTGGAGGAAGCTGCATTTAGACTTTTACATCATTCTGATACCTAAAACTGATGACAACAATATGAACACAAAAGACAGCCCAGTCAAGGGAAGATCAGTTTGAGCCCTTCAGGTAGAAAGCTTGCCCGTAGGATGTCGTGAGAGGCAGGGAGGATGCATTTTGGAGCACTGGTAATTTTTTTCTCACAAACTTGGCCAAGGCCCCTGGAAGATGCTTAAAGCTACCACGTCTTAATGAAATGAGAGGCAAGAAATCTTACCATCACAGCTCTACACAAGAAATCCACCCACTGCCTGGGGCTCTCTCCTGCAAATACTTAATTTAAAACATTCCGAGACACCTGTGCACACCAGGCTGACAAAGCTCTTAACAGGGAGCATTAAAAACTGGAACGGAGGGATCTGAGTGTCTATTTTACACACAAGACAATTTTGCCTCCCAGGGGGACTTTCGGCAACATCTAAAAATGATACCGACTGTCCAGTGAGGGATGCTGTCAGCATCCAGTGTAAAACACCCCACACTCTGCAGGCAGCTGGGCCACTGGTGCCCTAAAGAGCTTTGCCTCTTTCCAGAAGTCAGTCAGACCCAAGCTAAACACTCCCATCTAATGCAGTGATAACTCTGTGAGTGGGTTTTGCATGGAAGGGCTTCATAGAAGGGCAAACACGGAGGGCATCATAAGAGCGCCTTCAGTGTGCAGTGACCACCTCAGCAGCTCCCTGCCCCATGGTTGCTGACCAGGGTGGTGCCAGAGGGACGAGGAGAAAGACCTTGAACCGTAAGAAGCCCACCGACTACACTTACGTTTTTCTGGTTGATAGACTCGGCGGCCTTCACGATGCCGTCCAGGCATTTCCCAATGATGGGGATCACCTGCCTGTCCACCTCCGCATAGGTCTTCATGGACTCTCCAATGCGCACAATCCGCCTCTCCTCCATCTCTTGGATTTTCTGCAAAAGCCAGACCGTGTATAAAGTGGTCTACTACCATTTGAGGTAGATGTTTTGAGGTGATATTGTTCCCCAGCAAATACGACAGGGGGACAGACTGGGGTCTGAAGGAGCATGGGTTTATTGTACCATCATTGGTCAGCCAGCTGTGCTCAGTGAATGGCTGGGCTGTGTAGAGAGCCCTTCACACAACTGCACTGCAACTTCAATAGGGCCCGTGATGTGTAACATTGATTTCAGTTGGCAGGACCTACAATCACCGAATAGCCCCCCCGGGCGTATCAGCGGGGGGTTTTCTTGATTAGTTTAATTGAGGCAGGGTGACCCAGCCTAAATGTGGGTGTCATCATGCCTTGTGCTGGAGTTCCACCTGGGAGGGAAAAAGCAGACCCACAAGACACCTTAGCAGGTGTAGCCTCTTTGCCACCTAGCTTGATAACCTGAATTCAGACCCAGGAACCCATCGAGCAAGGAGAAAATAGTATGTTCTCTGACTCCTGTGTGCACTGCGATACAAGCACCCATAACCACATACCAACCAACTAAATAAGTAAATGGAACACGAGGTTTATATATATATTAGGAGAGGGGGCTGGAGAGGTGGCTCAGTGGTTAAGAGCACTGGCTGCTCTTCCAGAGATCCTGGGTTTGGCCCCCAGCACCTACACAGGGGCTCACAACCATCTGTAACTTTAGTCCCAGGGGCCTCAGAGACCTCTTCCCGGCTCCCACAGGCATCGCCTGCTGTGGTGTACAGCGCACACCCATGCAGACAAAACACTAATAAGGAGAAAGCGAGCTGAGCACTAGTCTTCATCATTCCTTGTTTCCTGACTGCTGGTCCCACGTGGCGAGCACCAGCCGCCTCCTGCTGTAGGGACACCCCTGCTACAACACTCTGTACCCTCAACAAACACAGGGCCTCACAGTGACACTCAAAGTAACTACAAGCCCCATCACGGGGGATGGATGAGGATGATATTGGTGTCCTGAGACAGGGTTTCATGTAGCCCAGGCTGGCTTTGACTTCTGATCCTCCTACATTAGAGGCGCGTGCCCTAACCCCGCTCAGTTATATTGCTAACCTCCTCGGCAATACATGTCTCTCCACCCTCCATCTTTTACGAAAACATTTTAGGAACAATCTCAGCGCAACACGGGCTGAGACAGGACCGGTGTCCTGCCCTCTATGGGCTAGGGCAGTGGTTCTCAAGCTTCCTAATGCTGCAGCCCTTTAATACAGTTCCTCATGTGGTGGTGACCCCCAACCATAAAATTATTTTGTTGCTACTCCATAACTGTAATTTCTTTCCGTGTGCTGGGATTAAATGTATGTACTGTCACTGCCCAGGGTTTTGTTTTTTTTGTTGTTGTTTGCTTTTGTAATTTTATGTGTACCGGTGTTTTGCCTGCATGCATGTCCATGTGAGGCTGTTGGAAATCCTGGAACTGCAGTTACAGAGAGTTGTGAGATGGCACGCAGGTGCTGGGACTTGAATCTGGGCTCTAGGCCGCTGAGCCATCTCCACAGCCCTCGTAACTGTCATTTTGCCACTGCTAGGAGCTGTAGTGTAAATATCTGTGTTTTCCAATGGTCCAAGGTCCAGAACCCAAAGGAGTCACGACCCACAGGCTGAGAAACACTGGCCTGAGGGTTCATGGGTAGGAGACCGAGAGGAATCACACCCAACTGGGGAAGCTACCTTAATCTGCTCCTTTGGGTTTCCTCCATCTGGAACTCAAACCATAAAGAAGATCACTAGTTTAAGGCTGGCCTAAACTACATGGCAGGACTCGTCTCAAAAACAAATAAAAACCAGGCAAAAGGCTCCAAACAGAAAAAGTAAAAAAGTAAATAGATTTTGTAAATTTACTGACTGAGTACAGTGCCAAGGATGCAAGGTCAGGCTTAGGTGTGGCAAGCCAGCGCTTCACAGTGAGCTTCAGCTGGAGTCTCTCATTCGCTTTTGAGCACTTAAGGTAGCCCCCCCCCAAAAAAAAATGATCCAGAAGTCCTGCACAGACGTTTAGCCGTAGCATGAAGGGGCAGAGACAGGTGGATCTCTATGAGTCATCCTCCAACCTCTCTGTGTGCCTGTGGACACTAGCATGCACACACACACACACACACACACACACACACACACACACACACACACGACTTTTAACAAGAAGAAAAAAGAGAACAATTCAAAGGAAACAATACTTGTTTGTTCAAATGCCCCAACTCTGAATGCGGCTTTGTTTCCTAAAGCTAAGCTGGCGTTTCTTGCAGCCAGAGTGTCCTTTGCAAAGGAAGCACGAATCGAAGAGGCGCAGTCAAATGTCAACCCCCGCAAAGACAGGGGCGCAGTGAAAACCCAGCATGACTGCACAGCACCTGATGAACCCTGGGCTAGCACGGTGCTCGGCTCTTACTGCCGGCCGTCGCTTGATTACCTGCGGTGGGGGCTGGGGAGCGGGAGTGGGAGCAGTAGCTGAGAGGATGGCTGTGCACGATTGAGGACCAGAACCCATCGAAAGAGCTGGGTGTGGTAGACCCAGCTGTAAGCCCCTCGAAGGGGTAACAAACAGGAGAATTCATGGGGCTTGCTGGCCAGCCAGCCTAGTCGCACACATAATTTTTAAAGGTTTATTTATCATTTTCATGCCTGTGTCCGTGTGAGTTTATATATACCACGTGTGTGCAGATGTTCACAGAAGTGCCCAAGGACTGCCAAAAGAGGACGGCACATCTGGAGCTAGAATCGAAGGCAGCTGTGAGTCATCTAATGTGGGTTCTAGTCCCTACAACAATGGCAAGCGTTTTTAAAAAATGATTGTTATTTTTTTTTTTAATTTTATGTACACTGGCGTTTTGCCTGCATGCATATCTGTGTGAGGGTGCTGGATCCACTAAAAACTGGAGTGACAGACAGCTGTGCGCTGCCATGTGGGTGCTGGGAATCAAACCTGGGTCCTTTGCAAGGACCCAGCACTTAAGCAGCCAGTGCCCTTAAGTGCTTGCTCAGCCATCTCTCCTCTCTCCCACCCATTTATTTGAAACTACATCTCTCAGTGGCAGGCTGGGGAGATGGCTTTGTAGTTAGAAATGCTTGCTGGTAGTGGCTGGAGAGATGGCTGAGCAAGCACTTAAGGGCACTGGCTGCTTAAGTGCTGGGTCCTTGCAAAGGACCCAGGTTTGATTCCCAGCACCCACATGGCAGCTCACAATCATCTGAAATGCTAGTTCCGGGAGACCCAAAGCCCTCTTCTGACCTCCAGGGTCAACTAGGCATTCATGTGATACACAGATATATAACCAAGTTGACCTCTGGCCTACACACACACACACACACACACACACACACACACACACACACACACA